TTTCTCGGCAAGAAGATTTTTACAGAGTTAAATAATAATGTTAACGTATTAAAAATTAATGTTCTCATCGGGTAAATAGTTACAGTATACACTATACAATACCGATACTGAGTATACCTATATAATACTTTTGGTTCATTTAATGCAATTAAATTACATGATAATAATATAATATGTTATTACAACATTAAGTTTTTTTCACCGAAAAATGTGTATAGGTTTTTTGTTGTGATTTTATTTTATATTTTTATTTACTTTTTCCAAATATATCGATATATATATAATTTTTACGTTCAATAGCACGACAGTTCAATAGACCAACTCTTGAGTATTGAGTACTTATTATTATCAGTCAAGTATTATCGTACTGACTCTCAAATAAAATAAATGACAACACTGGGAAGCTAACGTCTGAATTCTCACTATATGGCTAATTCGAAAGTAAATGTTTCTCGAGGAATTATTCTATTGAAATGTTGGTATATTCTTAGGAACAGGATTTGATGTCCAATACATCAAATCCTTTATAATAGTCTATAAAATTGTGTTATAACTACACAGATACAAAACAAAGGAATTAAGTCTATTTTACTTTCTATTGAAAATAAATTTAATTAGATACCAAGAAAAATTTGTAATTTTATTGTCTAATACTTTTTCTAATATCAGTATAATATATAGGTACTATGATAATTATGGGTGTATCTAAACCTTTTTTCGCAGAGGATAGAAGCATAAACAATATTTTTTTGGTAAAAATAAATCACATAGTTACCTATATAATATACTATATAGTAATTATTATAATATCAGTATATCACTATTCATATTATCAATTTAGGTATGTCAAAAAAAAAAAAATAAAATAAGATAAGGAAACAAAATACGTAGGTAATGAGTCAATACATAATTTTAATGAAAATAACTCTATTTTAGTAAAACCATTTTGTTATTGTAAATAATATATTATATAATATTAATAATATATTGATTATATTATTGTAGATCGTAGCTACGTTTCTTAACAATATAAACTGTATAATTTGATTAAAAAATATGCCAATTAGTGTTTTTTTATTGTTAGTGCTTAAATTGAAAAACAATTAGAAGGAGAATGTAAAATACAAATAAGAAGAAAAATGTAAAACATAATATTGACCTGTTTAATTGATTAATATATAAATGATATAATTAATACGTATTATATCATATAATTAAAAGGAGTAGGTACCTTGTACTTATGCATTAATATTTTTTTTAAAGAAGAGGGACTCCGTTCAGCTCTGATTATCATTTTATAATATCTTGTTCATTCATCAGATATTATAAAATTTTACTGTAAGAAAATCTATAAAAAAAAGTTATGTCAACTAATACCTACTAGCATAGTATTACCATCTTTCATCATTGTTATTTATTAAGTATTACCTTTTGTTGTATTATTGTTCTCATTCATATTTATTTTTACTATGTATGTGTTGATACTTTGATAGAAGTCTTGACAGAACCATCCAGTGATTGAACATGTTACATGGTCATGCATTTATTACCTACCAGCATAATACTTATAATAAATTAATATTATAATTAATAGATTTAAATGAATTATACCCATTAATGATACCTATGACAGTATATAATCAACACGGCTTGTATTGTTTTTATATTTTTATTATTTTTAGGCGTATATTACTTTATTTTTTGTACACTCTATGTCATATTGCACTATATTACACTCTATATTATGCTATAGAGGGAGAAGTCCTCTGAGTAGTTTGAAGTCTGTATAGAAAGGCGAGCAAGGATGCTCGCAGGTGGTGGTTGGGTGACATACCTAACCTCCCGTTATTTTAGTTAATATGAAATATTAATTGTTTTATTATCTACTTGCATGGCTTAAGTATTATTATATAGTACTTTTGACTTCTCCCCACGGAGTTTATATTTCTGCGGACGTTCTTGGAGGTGAGAGCCCTAATATGTTTAATTTAATGTAATTTGCAACATAAGTCAAAAATGATTATTATAAGGAGGAGTGCAGGAGTGCTTTACTTGAAAGAAGTTCATTCCTATCCGTCGAAAAACTCAAATTGCGTTTAAGTATATGGATGTGCTAAGTTTATTAAACTGTTTATAATTCAGTGGTTATACATTTGAATTCTATGATAAATAATTGTTTATACGAAAAATAAGGATTCTGAACGGGGTGGTCTGTCAAAGTTTATTTTCATGGTATTTTATAACACATTTTTGTATGTTTTCATTACATATTAGCAAATAATTTATTTTCCGGTTGGTAATATTGTAATACAGTAAGTTTAAGTGTTGAACTAATTTTCGACAAAAATATCGTATTGTATTATTAAATATTATAAATTATAATATCATGGCGTAATGCATATGTTATTGACTATTGTTATTAACTTAAAGTTTAAAATTTAATTGTGAATAGAAGATAATAATATCCGTATAATGTCGTGATAGTGAAAAGTTTCAAATAACATGATACATTTATACCTTTAGGACTCTAGGTATTATATGTATTATTGTATTAATGTTAACATTTTATAAGTTATACATCAACTAGTATTAAGTATAATAATTCTACAGAGTTATTTCGCAAAAAATAAGTTAAATATAATATGTTATAATATAATTTTATATTAATTTGTTTAAATAAAACCATTCGATACAATTTTTACATTTCATTGTAGGCGACATATTTTTATTTATTTTAAAATGTATATGTAAAACTCATAGACTTTATACTCAGAGTATAAGGTCTATAGTATAATTCGTATCTTATATACTTTACATCATATTATATTGTTCTGTCTATGAGTACCTATATAAAGACTATGGTAAAACTTTGTAAAAATGATAATCACTTGATAAATATATAAAAAATTATGTAAAACAGTTAAAACATAATGTTAACACAGTAAATATTAGAAATTAAAAAGAGATAAAGTTTATCTTAAAAATAATTAGATTAAACATTCCTGTGTAAAAAACAATATAGGTACAGATATACCTATTATAGTAAACATTAATAAATAATATATATAAGTGTCTACCACATTACATTTTAAATTATTTACATTTTTTATGTTGTTATGAAACTATTAAATTTTATTATTTTAAACTAACACATAGTACACAAAATTAATAAATTTATTGATTATTATTATTACTCTAAGAAACGATTAAAGGAATTTAAACGAGTAATAATATAAATACTAAACTATTGGTTGAATTAAATATGATAGTGTACCTATATACTCGGCCCTAACATTTTTCCTTTATATATTAAAAAATAAAAACTGCAGGTGTTGCGTAAATATTATAGTTTCCGGTGTTTTTTCTTTTTCTCATTATTAAAAAAGGGTAAATAGTAGGTAAGCGTTCTGATGTATAGTATAGGAGTCATGTGTGGTTCTGGCTTTCTGCGAGTCAATTTACCAAAAACCAAAATACCGTAGAGATAATTGACAATTATTAACGAAGTAGTGATAATTTAATAAAATAATTATCTATCGATAATGATAACAATAATATTTATTATAATGAATTTCGATATTTGTAAAATAATAAAATAAAAACAAGTCTAAAAGTAATATAAACAATTAATACGATCGTAAATTGTATACCTATTAAATAGTTAGGTTGAGAGCAATGCCTAGATTCTAGAAGATACTTTTAACTTTTAACGTGTTTTACCTACACGGCTATTCGGGCTATTCAATTATTGAAAGTAGTTTCTTTTTTCTTGTATGATGCGGCCTTGAAGCTCCTCAAATAATAGTTTCAATATCTGCTTCTATCCTACTTTGCTATTTCTTAAATTCCTTTATAAGAATAAACAGACCAATATTAATGGCAGAAATGAAATAAACAACCTTTAATTTTGGATAACGGAAATTCAGTTTTTCTCGCGTTTATTGTAGTTAGCTCTGCAATTACTTATTAAAATGTTTGCATAATTATCAAAATTATTTTACATAAAAAGCTAGGTACTTAAGCATTAATTTGTTTTTTAGTCACAAAATCGATTTTGTAAAAAACTAGGTTTGCGTAAAAATTCTCGTATTTCTTATTTTATTTTCCTATTATTTTAAAAATAATGGTTATTCTTATTATGATCTTCAAAAATAACTAAATACCAGCTAGATCAAATTGTCTACCAAAAACTACTCTCAAACTTTAAAATTAAATCATTTTATTGCTGCAAAAATTATCATTATAACGTGCTAACTAAAAAACAACATTTTTAATTCAATAAATATAATAGCCGGTAGGTAGGTAATAGGTATATGTGTGTTGTTGCTCTACTCAAAATAAAAATTATTCAATATTCATGCATCTTAAATATCTGCAGATAAATATAATATTATCTAATATTATCTAATATTACCATTATTATTTTAAAATGAATAGGTTAGAAAACAAATTTCAGTTCAAATTTTCGTAAATTATTAATGTTTATTTCCAAAAAAATAGTTAAAAATTAGTTTTAATAGTTTTTAATAATAAATAACATTGCATTAAATCATTACAATAATTATTTAACCATCTATAAAAATGCTTATTATTAAATTATAATTTAACATTTTATGCATCTATATCAAAGTAAAGATCTAAGAATACAACTTTTAACTTGTATTCACGTTGCTTAAATGAAAATTTATTTTTGGCAAACCACTCGGTCTGTGGAATGTTTTTGCTTAATTAACTAATTAAAAATGTTAAATACAATATATGATGCAAAAATAGGAATAAAGAACGCAGTTTAAAAAATGCTATTATTTTAAAAACACCTACAACAAATTAACAAACTAGATATTATTGGGACATAAACCAGTAAAAATAATTATTAAAAATATAATCTATTTTATATAATTTAATAAATCTGATAAATCAACATAATCATCTATGCGAACTATTATGCTTTATCTACGACTCTATCTTTAATATTTATACTATTTATCAAACAACTCATTACTATAGTACCTAAAATTATTATAAATTATATGGCTAATAGGTTAGCTATGAGTTATAGTTTATAAGCTATATCTAATTATCTTACGGTTTTAACTGTTATTTTAATAGATATATATACGTAGAATGTAGATAATATGTTGAATTGGGATGAGTGTGTTCTGGATGTCGACATCTCTATATTGCAGGTTATACTCATCGTGGTTTTTTTTTTTATTGACTGACAATCAAATTAAACTTCAAAGTGATTTTTGGTAGAAAATTTGATCTAGTTGGACCTTAAACAAAATCAAATTGTATTAAAAATAAACTGTATAGGCTATACTAGATAGGTAGTATGATAAAAAAATTTTTATAGGCATAGTTTTAGCCAATAATTCATGTTTTAATATGTATATTAAAAATTAGTTCTATTAGTGGCGAAAGACTAAAATAAATCCTGGAAAAAAATCACTTTCTAATGATTTTGTTAATATACAGAGTGATTATTTTGCTACAAAACACTTATAGTTTCAATTTTTCCCAAAATTTCAGATACATATTATTTATAATTAAATAAAAATTGGATGAGTATGTTTGTTAAATCATTTGATATATACCTATATTATACATATATTTGTATTATAAGTATAAATAAATTTATATTATTTATGTCGGGATAAAATTGTTATTTAGAAAGTTTTCTTGACCTAAAAAAATTATTAACGTCTGAATCATCGTTTGTAACGTACAGCCGTATAGGTCGCATAGTACATTATTATACCAATTATTTACATATACATAACTATTACTATAGCTGGTAATGGAACAGATTCTTTTGAAAAAATTTAAAAACTGAATAAAAATAAATCACAAGTATGAAAAGTATAGATAGGATCCAACTTCCAAGTGTAAATTTGGCTATCGTAGACCTTAATGGTGTTTATTTCAATAGACAGTTTGGATTTGGACGAATTCGTAAAAATTGCAATGTATTTGAGCGACTTTTTTAAATACCCTTTAATACATTTGGCCCATTTGGGTACTAGACAGTTTTTATTAATCCATTTTCCCTCGCACACTTTATTTATTTTTGTTTAAAGATGAATAAATATAAAACTAACTTCTATACTAAAATTCATTATAATCAGTATATTTTAAATATTTTAAAAGCATATATTTAAAAACACAATATTTATATTTTAAAAAGCATAAATATACCTACCTACTGTATTATATGGGTAGGTAATATCTAGGTACCTAATAAAATCTTAATTTATTATTCTAGTATTATTCTTAGCTTTTATATAGTTATTTTTATTTTGAATAATTATACTTAAACTAAGCGATGTTCAGAAACTGATACTTTGCTATTGGAATTGAATTCTTCAATAACTTTTTCTATTTGAAACAAAGACAAATTATTAAGACGTTTTAGCCTATTGTTGTCTGCAAATAAGTTTTCAAACATTGTAAACATGCAACAATTTTTTACACAATACAAAATTTGTAGGAATTCTTAAAAGTATTTTAAAAATAGAATATATTAAAAAAAAATGTTTTCTCGTTGTTTTCCATGTATTCACATTTTTTTTTAAATCTAATATTTTCTACAGATATATATATAAGGGTATTTCAGGTATTTTTCTGTAAAAATTATATTGAAAATATTCAGTTCAATTTTTAATGGTTGCATATCTAACATAATAGGTAAGTATTAGATACATACTAATGTTAACAAAATATTTTTTACGTGATTTTCATTAATAAATCAATAAAGCAATAAAATAAAATTATATTTTCATAGAATTTGAATTTCAAGTTCAGTAGGTATATGTACATGCAACATGCTACATAATGTTATTTCTCCATGGGGTACAAGTGCACCGTAGAGCACCCTCGTAATTACGCCACTGGATTAGGTACCTACTTTATTTTCAACAATGTCTTCAACATCAATATTATTCAATATAGATATTTGTCTTTACAGCTATAAACAGAAATGATTCCGATTATTATTATTTATTTGTATAAACAAACTTATTCATACCATTTTTATAGATAGTCTCCGATATCCTCTCGGCATAGTCCAACCACAGAATAGATAAATGGCTCAACCATCATGATATCCTGCAGTGGCTGTAGTATTCTGAAAGGTTTTAATAAAACTCTAAAATTTATGTTAGTTAAAAACTTAGATCATGCTTAACTAAAATGATAAGGAGAAAAAATGGCAGAACTAACTTCAAAACTTTATGAGGTTATTTGTTTCTATAGAAACCGCAAAACTATAAATACATAAACATTGACCAAAGTAAAAATGTCTGAACTTAATAGAGCACCAGTGGATTTCTTTATAAAAGTAATAAATAATTATAATTAAGACACTATCAAAAATTAAAATATACTTGTTATAAAATTACAGATGCATAGTGCATTGATGGCTAAAAACTATAGCACTGCATTGGATTACTGCAATACAAGTAAAGTATTAAACTGTATACATTTACATATTTGGATGTTGTTTTTCATTATTTTTTTATAGTTTTGAGTTATGAACAGACAAATGAGACAATGATGACATTTCATGAACTGCTTACGAAAAAAATAGATATGAGTGAGTGACTCAGCATTATACCTACCTGTTAAAAATATTTATAAATATTCAGAGCGCACATTAGTAAATTACCATCTAACACAAATAGAATAAAATCTAATCACTTATTATGAAACTGTTATACAGTAATTATTAAAAATTTACAGTTAAAATTTAGGGAAATATTTTCAATCATCATTAATTATATATATATATATTAGTATATTACTAATATATTATTAGTAATAATATTTATTATTTATACTTTTCAACATAAAGATATATTTAATTTAATTTGATAATTTTCTTTAACATTTTGGTGTGAAATACAGATTGTATGTAAATATGCATTTGTTATTTTCAATTATTTTTATAATTTAAATGTTGATACTTGAGATTTCAACTAAGTGATTAAAATGCAATTGATTTTTTATAATATGTGCAGATGTGCTGAATAAGAAATAGACAATGCATTTTACTGTTATAACCTTTAATAGATACTAAACACATTTAAATATTTTTTGTAATTTATAGTGGATGAGAAATCAGATAACACAGATACCAGTTGTAGTGAATCTAGTTTATCGGAAAGTGAAAATGATTTGTTGTGAAAAAAATAACAAATTCGGTATTTAAATCTAATTATATTACACGCACAATTCATTTATTTACATTTGGATTATTTATACAAATAAATTTGTAAATATTTTTTCATTTTAACTATTTAAAAACTTACTTAATAGCTAGTTTATTAAATAAATATACTAATTATTTTAGGCTTTTAATGAAAAACATTATATTTGTATACAAATATTGATTTAGAAAAACTAAAACATATAATAATCAAATTTGGTTGTCTTTTTAAATGCTACAAGGACGTTGGTGAATCATTAAAAAGGTAAAACTCACAAAAATGTTAAAAAATAAAAGTTAATTGATTAAAATAATTGTTTTGCTTTCATTCATAAATTGGTATGTTTTAAAAAAAAATTAAATTGGCAAAAAACCATCCTTTAAAACAAAACCTTTAAAATATCCACACCCTGTACTGCGAAAAAAAGAGAACAAAAATTATTATAAGCTTTACATTATATTAAACACATAAACATAAATGCAAATGTACACATAAACACATAAACATACACATACACTCAATGGTACACACATAATATAATATAAACGTATCGGTATTACACATTATATAAATGTAAAAGTTTGTAATAAAATAAAGTCTGCATTATTTGAAAAATAAAAAAATTAATCACTCTTTAACAATGTTTAAAATATATACGTAAATACTTTACAATTTATTCTGTTTTTCTATATACATTATTTATGTAGTAAATTAAGTAAAAAAATTATGTGCAGATTTATTTATTTTGAATGTAAACAAACTATTGTGTATGAAGCAGCAGTCTTGGAGTTTGCTTGTAGTTGTACTAACTTATATAAAATATTTCAAAAAGGAATAAAAAAAAAAAAATAAAAATAAAAATAAATAAATAATAGTAGTAATAATTTTAATTATAAAATACAAATAAAAAAGAAGAGAGATTTATTTATAATAAAGGAACTATTTTATATAATATTAGTACCTAGATGTAAATAATTATCAATTTTACAACTATAGTCAAATGAAAACAACAAAATTAAATAACAATGACAGATACAATTTAAAATCATTATACTACTTTAATTTTAAGTAATTTAAATATGTAATTTCAAATATAAACAAGTTAATTAAATATAAATTTATAATATTTGTGTACAGGGCCGGTCCCTTTGTCCTAAATCAATTTTCTAATACAATACATTTTTAAAAGAATAATTCAATTATTTTATTTACGCTATTAAGCTTTATAGATTTTTTTTTTATATAAATTTTAGGGTTAAATACACACTTGGACTTAATGCATAAACAAATAATAATTTAAATCATGTGGAACTAAACTTTGTTCTAAAACTAATTATAATTTTACTGTACATATTTAAGTTAATTGATAAGTAACTATTAATTATTATAACTAATAGCTTGATATGATATCTTTAAATTATTATTTTTGTTATAACTTAAAAGTGAATATATATAACACTGTAAATAAATATAACAATATTTCAGTATGGAAATCATTTTTACTAAAGATTATTAAAAAAAATCAATTAAAAACGTTGACTGCTACATGCCCGCCAGCGACCCAAGTGATGTCTTTTATTGTGAAGCCATTTTGAGTCGCCGGCGACCCTAAATCATATTGTTAATGTATGCCACTTGGGTCGTTAGCTGCCCAAGTTAACATTAAAATTAAATGCATGTAATTCTTCAATGTTTGGAGATAAAAGTATTTAGATTAAACCATGGTATAGGTAAGAATTTGATTAAAAAAAAAAAAAAAACAATAAAATTTTTTTAAATGGTTTTAAAAATATCAATTTTATTAAAATTGAATAACTAAAGCTATTTTTATAAATGTAAACATTTTTGACAGACCATGTAAAAATGATATAGCCTGACATGTGCTCATATGACAAGGGTCACCAGTGGGCATGTGGCAGTTAACATGCTAAGATGTAAAAATTTATTTTAATAAATCTTAAAATAGTGTAAAATATATTTATTTTTTTTTGAATTTGGAAGCTTTATGTGACACACTGAATAAGTTCTTGAATCACCCATAGCTTCTGTTGACCGGCCCTAGTTATACAATATCTGAACATTACATAATAATATCTTAGCTATAATATTTTTCAATACCTGTGTCATTTATTTTGTTTAAATAGACATTTTAAGACTTTAAATGTAATTATACTTATTAGTATATTATATTTATATATTTTTAAAAATATAATACAGCATATTTACAGATTAAATTAAATTAAGGTAAAGTACAACATGGCAACAATAATGAAGAGTCCAAGGGAGAAATAATGAAATTGTGTTAAACAGTTACTTAGCTACAATTTATACGTAGTATAAATAAGATATAATTTAGAACATAAGAAAAAAATATTTTAATCATTAAATTTTTTTTTGTTATGTGTCACTAGTCTGTTAGTATTTTTTTAAATATAAAGACAATTTATAAATTATATTTAAGTCATCAAATTCAAAAATATTTAAAATATTCAGTAATTTGCTGTAGAAAACCACATTTAGTTTAAACTAAAAACCCCACCCATCCTAAAAAATAAGGGGCGTTTGATAAAATAAATTTTTCTTCATTCTATTAATTAATATATTTAATTCAATAAATAATATAAATTGCAACTAATTTAGGTAGTTCAAATAAAAATATTATACAATATATAAAATTGCTATGGCAAAGATAATAACACATAAGGTTTATTTTAACTATTGAAAGAAGAATTTATAGGTATTTATATTATTGATTGAGGCACCTTATATGCATTAATAATAATTATTATAGCATTTAAATTAAGTGTTCTGCTAATATAATTATATTTATAGTAACTAAAAATAAAACTTTCAATAATTACAGGGTAAATAAAATAAATTAGGACGTGAAAGTATTGTTGTTAAGTAATAATTTTTATCTTAAACATTTAGATTATGAGTTGTTACAATTATAAAATATTACTATAAACTCGTTTATTAAATACAATTAAAAACTTATTTATGACTAATATAATGTACAATATACAGATTATACTCAATGAATACCACCTTAAAATTATTGGCACATTTTTTTTTTGTTTTTTTTTTTTTTATAAGGGTGGATAACTTGAGGTAGAAGAATATAATATTATTAACTATAATGATATTATTCTAAGATACATATAGAAATGGAGAAAATCAATTTCAATAAAATATTTTGATGTATTCCATACATCGAGTATGGCACAAATAAGAAAATTTATGATAAACATTGACAACAACTAACAAAGTAAAATTGTGGTATTTCATCTTTAGCCAAGTAAACAACAGAACAACAACATCTAAAATAACTGAAAATTAAATTGTATTTATCAAAATGTATTTAATAATGTCGTATAAATCAGTATAATTTAATTCCAAAAAAATTGATTTTTTCCAATTTGCAAAATAAACAGGTATTCTAAACTATTCGTAAGTATGATCGTTGGACCATTTAAAACAAATTATGAAAATTAAATACCTAAAAAAATTTAAGTAGTAAGTGTTTTTGTTCTTGGAGAATCTCTCCCAATAATGTTTTATATATGATTAATCATAACATAACTTCAATAAGGTTACCTTTCTATAATTATAGAAAATATTGTCACTGAACATGGAATTCATAATATGTTAGTTAAAAAAATAAAACACTATTGGGTGGTAGAGGTTGGGTATTCACTTACTACTTATATACATCAACAACTTATTAGGGAGCTTACAAAGTTACTTAGTTAACTTACATAAAAGGAAACACCAAAGTCTTCTCCTGCAGAAGCTAGGTTGTTGATGAATATTATGCTATAGTACAAATACAATAATTTATGGTGATAACATTGTTACTGCTGTTCCATTATATTGGCGACATTGCCATGTAATGCGTTCCATTACACACGATGCTGATAATCTAGCTTCAGCATCATGATCCCAACATTCTTCCATTGTATCACATAGAGCTATTAAACCCTAAAAATAATTTTAAAAATGCCATTTATTAATAGATGCAATATTTTAAAATATTTTTTTATTAATTTCTTACTGGATGTGATTTCCAACTATCTTTAAAAGCAGGTCTTAGTTTTTTATGTACAACACATTCTTGCATGTCTTCCAAGGATGGATGTTGTCCAACTTCTTCTTCAAAAGGTAACCTATAATCTGGTATAGCTCCTTGTTGTGCTGTACATCTAGTTGCTAATTCCCATAAAACTAATCCACATGCATACATGTCAATTCTTAAAAATGCATCTCTTGAAAAATTGATCGCTCCTTCTAGTACTTCTGGTGCCATATATCTTCTTGTGCCAACCTAAACAATAAATAAATATTTAACTAATCCCTTCTTGTTTAAGACAATAAATAATAAGTATTTACCTGACCGTGTGTATCACCACACGATTTTCCTGGTTGAAAAACTAAAGCAAGACCAAAATCAGCAATACATGCAGTTAAATCATGTTTTAGTAGAACATTGTTGCTTTTAAAATCTCTATGAGCAATGGCTGGTTTATATTGATCTGAACGTTCTGATGGTATTTCTTCATGTAAATGCATCAAACCTCTGAAACAAAAAAGTGAATAACAAACCTGGATATATTAAACAAACTACTTAATATTATTACCTTGCCATAGATTGAGCAATATGGCAGAGCTGGTCCCAAGTTAATATGTTAGATTTTAAGTAGTCACATAATGATCCATATTCATGGTAAGCAGTAATCAACCAATATTCATTTTTGGCACCTTCAATAACACTAGCATGTTTTTCAGCTCCAATGAAAGATAGTATATTGTCATGTTGCATGTGTGGTAATTGATAAATGTCTTGTTCTACTAACCATGAGTTTTTATCCTTAAATTAAAATAACATATACAAATTAAAAAAAAAAAAAAAAAAAAATAGAAATAAAAATAAAAATTATTACTTGAGGAGGAAATATTTTAACAGCTACTGTATCTTTCTTATGAAGAGCTTTCCATACTGCACCATAACGACCTCTTGCCTTAACTTCAACTAATTGTATTGGGCGATTGCTGAGTATAGGAGAACAATTCCCTAAGTGAGAGCTATCTGATGATGGAACCCAAATACATAGAAAAAAATTTGTTATAACAGAAAATTAAACAAAAATAAATCAACAATTTATGTAATTTATATTGTTACAGCTTAACTCACCCACTAAAGATTTAAATTCCAAAGTAAAGACAAAAAAAGAAAAAAAAACAATTGTAAATTACAATATATTTTTTTTTTATTATACATGAATTGGGGAATAGGAATAATTATACAGAAGGTATAAATGGATTAACTATCAAGTAATTAATACAATGTTATTATTACTAATAAAACATTTTTAAGTTTGAAAACAATTTTGAATTTTAGATTCTGAGAAGAGAGATGAATGTAATGATTTTTACAATAGTATTTTTTTCAGTCAAGTGGATCTAATATATACTTTGGGGACCAAAAGTAAATTACAAGTACAAATAATAAAAGCCAGTTTTAAAACCAGTACTAAAAAAAAAAATAAAATAAAACAAAAATATCAATGTAAATTTAATTTTTGACAAAATTAATTTTGTTTTTATGGTATAACTTAAAAACAAAAAATTGTAGATACTTGATATTTTCACTGAAAGAGTTTATATTACAATTTTAAATTTAAGATATAATTTTTAATTTATTTTGAATTTTTTGACCTATTTAAAGGAGTGAGAAATAATCAATTTTTTTTTTGTATAGTTGATGATAAAAAATTATTTGCTATTAAAAACCATATTGTGAAATACACATACTTGATGTATCATAGAATTCAATTTTAATACATGCAAATAGTGATTTAATAGACACTTAATATATAGCAAAGCAGTACCCAATGCTTCTAACTTTTTAAATATTAAATTATAATTCTTTTTAATGTAATAAATGTATAAAAAATAATTTTAATATTATCCCACCATTTGCCTCCTAAGATTTGAAGTAAATTTGATTAGTTATGGAATAATTTAAATTAAATTGTTCAGAAAACCTAAAATTTAAGAAAAAGTTTGCTATTTTTATTTTGGGATTTAATTAAATTAAATTAAAAATATACTTAAAATGAAAGTTGTGTACTAATTGATTTATTCATGTATACTTCAGAGCTAATAGAAATTCTTATCAAGTTAATGGTTTAATTTTCCATTTTTTATTTGTTTTATAATCTAAAATATAATACATACAAATTAATGCATAACCTACTTACAAAATAATAATTTATTTATAGCTATAACATTAAATTACAGATGAAGAATATCAATATGTTAGAAGGCGCGTGGTGAATGCGGTGCTCTTGATGAGCATTTTAGCCATTATGGGCTTAGTTTAATTTTTAAATGTTCGATATTACTCATACCTTAGGCCAGGGGTGGACAACTGGCGGCCCGCAAACCTTTTTTATCTGGCCCGCGTTTACGATCAAATTACATCATATAATTTTTAAGTCGATTGTCTATAGTATAGAAATTGTCTTACAGATGAAAAATTAGGCCACCTACTTCATGTTTCCTCTTCCAAAATAGAAGTTGATTTTGCTGTGTTATCATTAGCAGTCACATGTCCTCAAAATTCACATTAAACAAATACTAATAGTATTATTTATATTTAATTATTTTAAATAACCTTTTCACTGTTAATATTCACATTATAAACAAAATAAATGCTGAATTTTAATTTTCTAAAAAATTGGCCTTCTAATAACTTTCAGTTGCCCATCCCTGCCTTAGGCCAATATATTTAATAATATTTCTATAAATAAATCAAACATTTTTATTATCAATTGTTGAAATAACAATCGCGATAATTTGCTAGTTCCGGTATAGTGAATCAGGTAAGGTATCAGAAAATGACATAGATTAAAAATGTATTTCTGTTTTTAACTACAAGTGTTTTTTTTAATTTTTAATTCCAAGTTTAATATTTTATATGATTCACATACCTGCAGCAATAAATGTTTGATTTACAAAAAAATTGTTATTATACTCAAAACACAACAGGTGAGCTCATACATGTTAAATTGTGATATAAATAAGAACGCGCCTTTTGATGAGTTAATGTAATTTTTTTTCATCTATATAATTGAAGAAATATTCAATAATTCAATAAAAATGTATTTACTTACATGAGAAAATTGAGGTATTTTCCTTCGTTTATAAACCCAATAAACAAATAAAAACATACTTGCTACAGCTACCAAAGGTATGGTAGAAAACACTATGGTATGTATTAATTCATTATCATCACGTATAGGTTTTGCAGCTAAAATAAAAAGTGTATTTATTGTTAAATTGTTTATTTTAATGATCTATGTGTATTATTTACATGTTGTCTCTATTCGAGGAGTTGTTGGAACAGGGTCCCAAAGAATTTCAGAGTTACAATAATCTCCTTCACAACAACAGAACAGTAAGCCATTAGGTTTGATTTCTTCTTTTTTTTCTATGCATTGCTTTTGACCAAGGCATTCGACATTATTTAAAAAACAACCCTAAAAATTGTTATTACAATTAAAATATGATTTATTAACTTAAACACAAATTTATAAAAATTAAGTGATATTACCTTAAGCTTAATTTCTAATTTATTTGTCTTAGTATTATTTGACCAAACTGCATAACAATATGACGGCTTATCATTTTCTCCGGTTTTACAACTTTGGATAGCACTTACACAATCTTCTTCACTGCGAGAATTGTTACAAGTAGTTTCATTGTAATAATGGCATTTAGTTTCTTCATATTTTTTGCGGCTAGCACAATTACATATAGTTAAAAGGAATAAAATACTACATATCCATATCCATAATTTTTGTTCCATTGTTTCCTTCAATAATTTTTAGTTATGGTTTTTAAATTTACTTTCACTTAAAAATTGAAATCTCCATATTCTGAAAACATATTATTAAAAAAATTAAATACATTTTTTTTTTAAAATGTATTATCATAATTTTCATAATATAAAGTTTAAAAGTAGTTTACATGATTATTTCTTTTAAGCTAATAACTTGTGTTATATAAATACATTTATATAACAAGGAATGAAAATATTTATAAAAACTTGGAAAATTATAATAAAAACGAAAAGAGTTTTGAGAAAATCTATAGAAGAATGCAATATTCAAATATTGGGTAAAGCACTAGTTAGCCTAAGAGGAATTTAGAAATTTATAGTTAAAAATAATTTTATTTTAAATGAGATTAGTAATAAAAGTGCTTATGCATTTTGAACTACATTAGCTAATTGTAATCTGCTTATCTAGTTTTCAGATATAACTACTATGTGGGAAAATTTATTTATTTTACCTACCTCTAAATTTACATTTAAAATTCTTACTCGTTTTTCTTGAAACCCAGTCTTTTTTTTTTAATTATACTAAGTTATGTTTTAAATGAACCACTATTCACTTTCTTTGCATTGTATGTATATTTTACATAGCCAATTCTGACCCATATTTTTCATTTTGTAAATGTTAAATATATTTTAACATATTTTGTTACTCAAATTTTTAAGACAGTTCTCATTTGGAGTAAATTTGGCTAGGTCTAAATTTAACTCTTTCTGATGGAATTGAATTAAGTATGATAAAAATTAATTTGTTTAAAATTATTCTATCCAAAAGTTTCAAACACACATTAAGTAATATTATTGGGAAAGTTTTCTAAGTAATAGTTTGATTTTAAAAATCAAATATGGCAATTATTTTAAATTGTTTTTAAACTTTGGAGGAATCTTGATTGTAGGTGTAAAATTTAGATAGCTTTCTTGGTATTTTAATAGATAATATTTAATATGACTACAATTATTAAATATTGTTGGATATTTCTTATTTTTATTAATTATTGATTTTTTCTTTTATTCAAATGTTTTAATTGTAAATTAGAAGGCAAAGACCATATTGAATTATTAAAGTAAAATAAATGTAAGATTAACTGTATTAGGTTAATTAAGTTAATAGTTAATAAAGATAACTTACAGATTAAAATTATAAGAATCAAGTTGTTCAGATTAAGATTTATATATTATTGTAAATCTTAATATGATGTTTCAGTGTGTCTAGTTTGTACATGTACGAATGAGCTTTTACGTTGCTCGACAACCTTTAAATACCAAAATTGGCAATGATTATTTTCGATTGTATAATATAATTGCTTTCGTTGCCATAATCTAATAATGAAGGTAGCAGCTAGTGATTGTTTCAGTAGTATGCAAACTAGCCAGACAATTAGTATTTTAATTTATAAAATTAATGATAGGTATTTTATGAAGAAATTGGAAATTATTTTTTTCTTCTTAATAATATTATATTTAAAATGGAACTAAAGAATAATATAGTAGTATATATAAATAAAAATATCATGAATAATCCAATCTAAAAAAAAAATAGACAATGATTGATTAGTCTCATTTAGATATGACCATTATGGTTTTATATATGCTGTCATACTTATATTTGGTTGCATAAAATTTAATCTTTTAAATTTATCAATTTATTTTCTTTAAAATGTAAACTTTTTAACAGTTAATATTTATCATTAAACTAATAACTTATAGTTTATACGTAAATATTAGGTTATAAAAAATTAACTTACATCTAAAAATCCAGTTTCATATGTCTTTAATGGTTATTATTTTTTTTTTGTGTATTTAGTTGCTCTTTGAATTATATTTAAATAGATCAGAATCATTTTTTAGTTTCAGAAAAAGTATGTTTCTTTTATAGATGCATTACTAGAAATAGATAACCTACCTTGTTTAATAAAGCCTAAAGTACATGAACTGTAAATAAGTTTTAAATTGTTATTAAATCATTGATTTTGAAATTTTGTTGAAACAATTAACAACAAGTGTACTATATAACTATACAATTTATCAATTTGTGAACATAAAGTGATTGGCATCTATTATGGACTTAGGTAGGTTCTATACAGTCGTATGTAGTAGTTATGATAAACTTTAAAAATAATAAGTAGTATTGACTCTTATTGACTTAAAATGTCTTAAAATTAAATTAAAAACTTTAATTATATCTGATAATTTAATTTGATAAGAATATTTTAAAATGTTGATTATTATTTAATAAATTCAGTTATAAGTATATAAATTAAAGTAAAAATTGATAAAATTGCAAGTTAAATTTTAATACATATTTGATTTAACTTAAGTAAAGACTTAAGATATTATACAATGAACATTTAAGTTCTAATTAAACAATTGATAAGATAAACACCTAAAAATCATTATATTGTGTTTTAGTACTTATATTAACTTTAAATAATAAACAATATCTGTGTTTTTTAGTTGAAAGAAATACATGAGAAGTTAACAGATTTTATGGAAAAATGTATTTTAACGTAATAACAGACATGCAGAATTTAATTGTAAACTTTAAAAGGGGTAACTTGACAATAAATTTACAAAACAATACAATAATTTAACATAGTAGGAACTTAATAGTATTACTCGAAAACGTCTTATAATTGGTCGGAATAACCTTTAAGTAAATTAAGCATTATATTGTTTATAGACACTGGAGCTTAGATATTAAATTTTTACTCACCGAGATGACATAAGATGGAATTATGACGATTTTATTGCACTCCTTGGATTAGAAACGCTCAGCTGAGTCGACATCATACCCTATGCGAAATGTATTAACGCATGTTAAAAAATAAAAGTAAGCTCAAAATACACTTATATTACAAACAAATATCTATGCGATAATAATATTAATAACAAGAATATTTAGTGATTTTTTCACAACAAAAACAATATGGACGACCCAATAAAAAAAAAAAAGGATTATACACGCAGAAACAGTGTGACCAAATATAATATATTGTAAACAATTTGATAAATTATTGAACTTAAATTTTATCATTTAATAATGTAAAAACTAAAAACAAATTTTTTAAACTGTACATCATTCAAATAAGTTATGAATTTAAAAAAATCGAATATATAGCGTATATATTAGAGTTTAAATTTGAAGAATTTTCATCCCGATACCGATTGATCATCCTACCGTGATAACAAAATATTTTCAATTTTGATTGTTGTTATTAAAATTTATAATTGATAAGGATTACATTTTTTACACGTGACTATTTGAAAATTTTATTTTTTTACAAAGTTAATTAAAATTTAAAGAAAATGGGAAAGACAAAGAAAAAGAATTTAAGAAGCGGAGTAGACAATATAAAGCCATATCCTAATTTGGCTGATCAGATCGTTGGTGATCGGGTAGTGTCTAAAAAGAAAGAACCAAAGATACGATTACGTCAGGATGAAAATGAAGAGGTAATGATTTAAAAGATTCATACAGTGTAATTGTATAAATGTTTAATTTTTAATTTATTATTGAATAATTTTATATCTTAGGTTATTGGTTCACAATTATCCAGGCGTATATTGGACCAAGTAAGAGAACAAAAGCAAGAAATAACTGATAGTGGTAAGTTGAATAACAATATTGGAAATAATTTCTTAATTATTGGATTGTATGTACAAAATATAATTTTTTTATCTATGTCTCATTCTATTTTAGAGGGTACAGATAAAAATCTACTCACATCATTAGGCTCAGGATCTGATTCAGAGGAAGATGAAGAAGATAAACCTATATTTGGTGAAGGAGAATATGAAGATTATTATGAACAACTGGTTAATAAAATAAAAATAAAGGTGAAATGCTTTTATATTTTATGTATTTTATATTTTTAAAGGAAATCAATGCAGATGATGAAAAAGCTCTAGAAATGTTTATGTCTAAAAAACCTGATGTTCGAGTAACTTTAACTGATATGATCATGGAAAAAATTACTGAAAAACAAACCGAAATACAAACTCAATTTACAGATGCTGAAAGTAAGCTTTTATTTACTTTTTTAAGTCGTCTTACTTTATTTTTTAATTAATTAACTAAAGACTAGGATGAAATCATATACCTTTGATTATTCTTTAAATTATATAATATTTAAATAGTAGCTAAATTGACATTAATTTAAAATTAAAAATATGTTCTAATAATTAATATTTTTGTATTATTGAATAAAATGTACAGGTGTTCAATTGCAAGATTTGGATCCACGTGTAATACAGATGTATAAGGGTGTTAGACAAGTATTAAGCACATATCGAAGTGGCAAATTACCTAAAGCATTCAAATTGATTCCAAAGTTGCGGAATTGGGAACAAATTTTGTTTATAACTGGTTAGTAATACTTGAATTAGTTGGCTTTAATATAATTATTCATTTTCCTGTTTTTTTTTTTTATTTAGATCCTTCTACATGGAGTGCAGCTGCAATGTACCAGGGTATTCGTATATTTGCATCTAATTTAAAGGAAAATATGGCTCAAAGATTTTACAATCTTGTTTTGCTACCTAGAGTTAGAGATGATATAGATGAATATAAAAAATTAAATTTTCATCTTTATCAAGCATTGAAAAAAGCTTTGTTCAAGCCTGGAGCTTTTATGAAAGGAATACTTATTCCTTTGTGCGAAGTAGGTTTGATGGTAACATTTCAAAATTCTGTTGTTTATAAATATTTTTTTTTCTTTTAGACTGGTACTTGTACTTTACGAGAGGCGATTATTATTGGATCTGTTATAGGCAAAAATTCTATTCCTATGTTACATTCAGCAGCAGCTATTTTGAAATTAGCTGAGATGGAGTATAATGGAGCTACATCTATATTTCTTAGAATACTTTTTGATAAAAAGTATGCCCTTCCTTATAGGGTTATAGATGCAGTTGTTTTTCATTTTCTCAGGTATAATAATATAGAAATGTCTTTATTTTTATGATTACTAAAATAACTATTTTATGTATTAGATTTGAGCATGATGATAGAGAATTACCTGTTTTGTGGCATCAATCATTATTGACTTTTGTTCAACGCTATAAGACAGATATAAGTTCTGAACAGAAAAAAGCATTGTTAAAGTTACTCAGAACAAAATCACATCATACTATTACACCAGATATACGCCGTGAATTAGAAAACTCCTCGTGTAGAGATATAGAAATGCCTGAACCCATGTAATAAGCTTATATTGATATAAAAACTAATATCCTTGTGTATAATATACATATTATTATGTTGATTAATTGATTGTTTTTTTTGTATTAAACATTTGGATAGATTTCTAAATGTACACTTATTTTTGTACAAATCTGGATTATTAATAAAACTAATAATTAGGACAATTTTAAAGAAATTGAACAATACTCTGTAGTCAGTCTGTACCACAAAAAACTGCAATTCTACTATACATCCAAATAATGGAATTCTTACTCCACTGTTGTATGTGGCATATGCCAGCTAGTTAAACGTTTAAATTGCATAATATTTGGCCAATGAAGCAAATGAGCTGAGGCAGCACTTTGTTAAATAATATTTTAGGATGTAAGCACCACAGTAGAGGGACAGTGCGAGTTTCGAGTGAGAGACGGCACATGTTGTGTTTAGATTTTTAGAGACGAGTATATTTGTGTGTTTGTTTTATTATTAATAAAGATTTTCAAAATAGAGTTAATTGTTTATCAATCTTTTGTGTACCATCGAGAGATAGGTATACTAAACCACCAAACAGTTACTATCATGTGACTGGTTGTGGATGATGTGCACAGTATGACGTGTTTTGGTTACCGTCATACAGTGGTCTCTCATGGAATAGAGTACAGTAATCTAAATGATTACATAAGTTATTAATTACATTCATGTGATTGATATAAACTAAGATGTATATAATAATATGTAATTATAACTATTATTTAAAATTTTATATTACAATGTTCACTATACTATTTTACTATTTATTTGTTGTAAAATTGTTTATGTATAATATATTATATTAAAAAGGACATCACTTCCACACACATATTCTCAGTCTTGCAAACATAGATACAGCATGGACAATTTGCATTTAATAGTACCCATTATGTATTATTAGCTTTAATATTGAAGTGAATTTTCCTTTTATTAGAGTTAAAGGTTAGAACTTATCAGTGTTAGTGTTGGATTTTTTTCAATAATTTCATTTTTAAACTAGATATGAGCATTTTCAATTTATAATTCTTTAAGATACTCATATCTTGTTTAAAAATCCAATGTTCCATCAGTAATAATTTTTTAACCTTTTAATTTGATGCTTGGTAAATTCACTATTCTATATTTTATTATGTATTAAATTTCTATTAGTAATTTAAATGTCTAGAAGTACACCGTTCGGTAAGTTCAACTAATTTTACTAAAAACAAAATGCATATTTTATAATAATACTAGCTGTTACTTATACGTCAATACTGACATAATGTACCATAGATAATAGATCGATATGAATAGGATTAGGATTGTCGTAGGTAAAGTCATCTAAATATTTTTTAAATTAATTTTGTAAAGTAAATAATAATGTATAAGTTTCAAATGTCTTTGACTGATATTATTTTAAATTATTAAGCTGACCAAAATTAGTAAAATCGCTATAATTCATTAGAATATTCAATATATTTTAAATGTGTATACCTTTTTAAAGGTAAGTTCTGAAAAACTACATTCAATTGTTAAGGGTTGGTCATTCAAATTGAAAGTTGTATATATCTTCAACTAACAAATATTCGTGGTTTTATCGAATTTTGTTAAAATTTGAACTTAAAATGCATTTAAAAAAATAATAGTAGGTAGGTATTTATTTTTTATTTTTTTATTATCTACGGTTATTCGTTTTTAATAATTACACCAAAATTAAAATCGATTTTGTGGAAATAGGTAGATTTTTGGTAACATTATAGATTCTGAGTAGAACGATGAATGTATTTTTCCCCTGATTATTTGGAAAAAATCTTGGAAATATATACCAATATAAATAAAACCTAAACTCAAAAACAATGTATGTATTATAAAATATATGTTATAAGCAAGGCTAGGAGCTAGGATTTATATGTATTGTCATGTTTTTTTTGTGACTTTTGATTACTGCTTTTGTTTATGTTGTCCAAAAATCATATTAGATACGTTGAAACAAATAGGGATTATATTTTATGTTGCATATTTTTGAATATTTTGAATAAAATGCATAGATAGCATTGTATATTTAAATATAAATACATAAAATTCATGTTTTATAGTTTATTTTAAACATCTATGGATGACAAGAGAATAAAATAAAATATTACCTATTCAAAAAATACCCAATAAGTGTTTAATTTATTATAGGTACCTATAGTAGAGTCAGTAAATTAATTTATATTTATCTTAATCGTCATATTATAAACGTACAACTGTAATAGTTGATTAGATTTTAAATTTAAGATAACTCTACAACTACACTACTTATAGTAAAATTAGTACGTATGCGTTTTGATTTTTAATAGCCGTCATTGTGTATCGTGTGTTGTGTTATTTGGTGTTTGTGAATCAAATGCATTTTGACCTTTGACAGTATTTCAAAGAATTTTTGTCTACAGTTTTTAAAACCAAAAGATATATTATTTTTTAGTATTTTTAATCAAAGTATCATATTTTTACATACTTGTAATAAACCAAATATATATTCGACTATTGTTTATTGCATATAAATCTTAGCCTAGCCTTAACTTAAAAGTATAAAAAAGGAGTAATAGATATAACTTCTTATTACTATACATGTTAACATACTTACGTGGTTATGATTATCCTAACATGAAATATTGGAGTCTTCGTTTGAACCCTAAAATGTATTCACGGGGGAAATTAAACTTATCAAATTCTAGGAAGATTGCAGATTTGTTACTTATTAGTATTTTGTTTGACGTACACCTATAAAATTTCAGTAAATAAATTCGATCTGTCTTTGTATTTTTCCTATGAATATATTTTTAAAGGCCGATAATTCAAGTCTTAAATACAAATCAATATTATTGGTACATAGACGGTAGATACCTACATGGATATAAATTATAAGGAAGTGTTACTTCATTTTTGTTTTAACGATATGTCGATATACGTATATAACAGAAAGTTTTTAACTGTCAGATTATGCTAGGTATGTAATGCAATTTATAATACTACTGATAACTTTAAAAAAACTTTACATGTCACATCAAGATTTCAGTGTAGGGGTGTTTTAGACGTTTTTCGATTTTAAACGAAGCAAGAACTATATTATAAAATTATACAATCCCTCACCAACTTACTATTTTATTATTATTAAATAATTTCACAGTGAAATAAGTTAAGTTAATTATTATTGAATTTTAATAATATTCTTATTGTTAACGTCTTGTTTATTAAAACGTGAAAAAACTGGTTTATTTTAGAAATTTTTCCACATCTATTGACTATTTTTATGTAGAAAAACAATTTAACTTAATCAAAAATTTAAAATACGTTTACACGTTTATCAGAGGCGTAATTGAGAGAAGAGGTATGGTGTCCAATCATACTAATTTTTTAAAAACACCTTTTAAACACCTACCTAAAATAAAATCAAGGTACCAATATATGTTTTTAAAATTTCTTTTTATTGTTTAAATACTTTTTTAGTGTGATTCAAAATTCAAATGTCCAACTGTTGAAAGTACCAAATACTTAGTACTCATTAAACATTTAAACTACTACCAAGTAAAAATAAAGTTATACCATGTCGATTAAAGACACCACTTGATGGAATACTTTATATTCTATCTACATAATCCTAATTATTGAATAATCAAAACAAGAAATCATAAAATTTGATAGTTTATAAAATATCTACAAAAATATTGAAAGAAAGCCTAAAAATCGAAGATACTCCTATTATCACCTATAAAAAGTTAAGATATTTTAAAAGTTATATCATACATAAACAATCATAAACACTTGGTGAAAATGTAAGGTTTCTAACCTTTGTAAACTTCTTGCACTAAATCTAAAATTATCACTTTGCTCATAAAACTTTTACATTCCTAAACAATCATTTTTTTACTATACTTGTACTATTTACTTTATTTAGTTATTGTTTCTATAGAAAATTACAAACTTATATTGTAATATCCTAGACTTAAAAAGCGCTAATAACCTTGCAGTTGATGCATATTTTTACACTAAAAAAAAAAAAAAAAAAATGATTTAATAACCGGTATATAAACTATGAAGGTACTAATAAGAAAAAAAATATTACATAGATATTTGTATTTTAGTGCACTTAATTAATATTTAAAACAATTTTATACACTCAATAGTGATTTATAAATAAAAGAGATTTGATAGTTATTAAAAGCATATATATATAATATAAGTTATTGATTTACAATTTGCATATCGATCGGTTTTTGTTCATTGTAAGTTTGAAAAATTCACTAACGATATATTGATGAAGCTTTTAATATAATATACTCATTTAAGACAATACAGTTTGATGCAAAGTTGTTGTTATTGAAATGGGTACCTAATTAACTTTAGATAAATATATATCTGATAAAGTAAATAAAAGTTCTACAAAGGTAAAAGTGGTTGTGAATTCTAAACAAAAACAGGTAAAGATTAAGATCTGCATCCAATTTCAGAAATGCGAGTATAATTAATAAAATTCAATAGGTAGGTATATTATATATTAGATGAATTATGTATGATTATAATTAACATAATTTAGTTTAATAATTATTCTATTGTCATAACTTTATAAGATCTACACTAATCTATACAAACTTCTTTATATTTTAAAGATTATCATTGACTTGTATTAAAGAATTGTCGATGCTCTAGTTATTTTTTAAACGTATAAATGAAAAATACGTCACGTAACAAATACGTACAATGGATTTTATTTTTAGGTACTTATTCAGTACTTATATTCGTTGATAGTAATTAATGAATTAGCCTCTGAAAATCGGCTGAAAAAATAAGTCTATATGCAATTTATTGTTATAACAACATGCACATAAGTACATTTAAATATTTAATCCACGAATGAATCCAATGATTATGATCAATCGTTTATATTATAGGAAATATTTTACATTTTAACTACATAACTACGCATAGTATCTATTAGTTAAAATTTTCCATGTTATATTATATTGTATTGTTGAATTGTATTCGGATGAGGTAATTTATTAACGAGTTGAATAGAGTATAATTCATTCAATGCAATATTTTTCACTGTACGTTAACATTAGTGCAATCTATTTATTTGACTATTCAAATGTTCCTGGAATTGCAATTTCATAAAGCAATAGTGAATTCATAATTGCTGTTTATAGTGTTTACGGTATTTTGACGTTGTACTGAGTTAGTTTTCAGTTTCTCTGTTTGTATAGTTGTTTTAGGATTCGTACCCAAATCAACATTTTTCTTAACCGCAGGCGTTTATATTTACCATGAGAATATTTTAGAAACATAAACAATATATAAATACTATTTGTTGATATAATTAATAAATATTTAGGTAATACCGATATTGTAGATTCCGAACAGATCGAGAGAGTTTGAGCTATTTATTGATGGTCTTGATTGTAAAAATTATCTGTTTTATTTATTTATTATTATTTTTTTCATTTTGGGGAGGCAAGAATCTCTTTTTGAGGTAGTAAAAATTCTTTGAAAGTTTCACGTTTTTCTTGTTCATATTTATTGTATAATATGTACCTTTATATATGCATAAATACATTAAAAATGAATAACAGATAATACGTAAATGAAGTTTAAAATACAGTTGAAAAATAAACGAAAAATATTAAATTAACTGCATATTCATTAAAAAAAAAATCGATTTTGTAATTTAGTAAATAATAATCAAAAGACAGATTTTTCATATTTTATATTGTTATGTTTTTTAAATATCGGTATGAAATGTTGAAAACTTGTAGTTTTGATTTTTAAGTATCTAAATATTGATATTTTTATCAAGTACAATAAAATATCTATTTAATTATTCATTATATTTACATGATATTTTAATACATACAATACGTCAATACTATATAAACTGTAGTATGATAACTCATAAACATAAGAGTGTAAAGTAATGTATCGAAAAAAATTGGTTATTAACATAAATTAATTGTTATTATGGAGTTTGAATAAAGTATCTATTATTTACAAATCATTTGTTACATAAAAATAAAATGTCTTTTTGTTATATTTATATTTATTAAAAAAAAATAGTATAAGATATTTAAATAATTAAAATAATAATATTTACTAGTAAGTACTAAGTATCTATATGTACTAAGTATATACACATTATGTAACACGAATTGGGCTAATAGCACTATTTATAATATAATATGATATGATACATTTGTATGGTTTAAATCTAGGATTAGTCATATTACAACACTTTTTAAGTTCATAGAAGTAAATAAAAACTATAATTTTTTACAATAATTAAAATAGGTTTGATTAATATAATATTACCAGGATATACCTTTTATAAATGGATTTTTACTAAAATTTGTATTTACATAAATAATTGAATATTGTGGACTACTTTCTCTTAAAATGAGTTTGATATGGATCAATTAGACAAAATATTTATATTATCTTATTCCCACATAAATAAAAATGTATTTTAAAATGTAAATTTATTTAGTTGATAATATTTTAAATAATAGACAAATTTTTAATTAGTTAAAATAAACTAAAAATAAGATTAATAATAATAAAGATATTCATATAAAAAGTAAAGAAATTATTACTATTAAAAAATATTTATACAATGAATATTGTATTATAAATGTGAAATCAAATTAATGATAAAATATAATATGTAATCTAAGTGTTCTATACTTATATGGACATGTAAAATTACTGAATTATTTTATGATATTGGCACCTAAAATATTATACACAAATAGTCAGCTTCATGCTTTCATGTAAAGAAAACTGAGTTTTTATGCATAAAAATATGAAAGAAGTTTTTAGTAGAAAAATGTACGATGATAATAATTAACTTTAAATACTTAAATTATATTTATTTAGAACAATTTTCACGTGTGACAATATGGATAAAATAATTTAAATCATATTACGTAAATGGTATATAATTAAAAATCAGTAATGTATAGTAATTATTTAAATACCATTGATTATTTTATGATTTTAATTATTACTTAAATAATCTTTTGGCTGTATAAATGTTACATTCTATATTAATATAATTTTAAGTTAAGTTTTCATTGTTTTACTTTTGTATTCTTAATACATTTTTTTTTCGGTGAATTATTTTAATCATAATTGTCTAAACATCACATTTATTATACTTAAAGCTGTCAATTTATCAATTATATTACTATCTGTACTGTTGTATTATATTTAAGATAAACAATAATGTAACATAAAAATATTATGTAAATTCTAGATGTATGTTTATAATAATTGTAATTGGATTCGCCCGTTTAAATATAAAAATAAAATAAATAATGATTAGGTATAACTCCATTGTATAATGTATTAATTTAATGGTTTATAAGTGATTATAGTGTAGCATAAAATATTTATTTATTCACCTTACCACCATAAGAATTTAATATAAAATTCAGCTACAATAAAAATAGTGAGTTTTATTTCCTTCTCAAGTTGTAGATGATAAAATAATTTTCATCGTTGGAATCTGTATTTTTAAGATGGGTGGTATTCGGGAGACGAGTCATGCAACAGAGAGGGTGCGTGTAGGTGTATGATGAACACCCGACGGCGGCAAGCCCTTCAGTATCATTTTCCTTTCAGTCCCGTTTGTGAGAAGGTGAGCGTTGACTGCTCAAATTCGTTAAAAATATAATTTATCGCGTTTTTTTTTTTTAAATTGAGGTTATTAGATTTATTAAATTTTTAGCAATACAAAGATTTACTTAATAACACAAAATTTAATATTATTTTTTCTATTTAATTATACTGTATGTTATTGTGCAATATTTGTTGAGTTAAAAATATTGCCCGCCAAATTTACCACGTGAAAACATGGATGATCTTGTAAGTACATTTGTATATTGTTTTTTATTTATTATTTTTGGCTTAAATATAATTTTTATGTCATTTAATTATTATTTTTTTTTACCAAATTCTAACATTAAAATAATTTCATATTATCAAAGAGTTAGTTAGGTAAATATGAAAACAAAATGTAATGATTAGGTATTGAAGAAAATTCAAAAACTAAATTCAATGAACTTACATCCTTACATAAATACAGCATACTTAATAAGAAAAAATCTTTTTCATAAATAAACGTAAATTTTATATGAACATGTATAAAAATATTACATTGATATTAAATAAAATAATAATGATTAATATATTTTTTAAATTCTGTCATTTTAAAGAAATACCTTATTTGATTAGTTTGATTTTATTTATAATCAAACATTAATAATTAAACTTGAAATATACCCAGACCTGGAATGAGCCACTGTGCTACTATTCTACAGTACAGTGGGCTGCACGTTTCAATTTTTTAAAAAAAATATTTGAGTTTTTAATAATTTAATGAGCGAAAAAACATATTTTTTTATATTGTATCTATAGACCTGCTTACTGAGAATATCACGCCGGTATCCTCTTAATCTGGTCTGAATATATCTGTATATACTATATATATATTATTTAATTTATTAGTAGTTTTTTTTCTTAAAATTAACAAAATATAAATATGTATGTATTTTTATTGTATACGATTTTAACATCAATTTTTTTTTATGAATTATTGAATAGTTTTTTTTATATTATAGCTATTATACCACTTGTATATTATAATCTTGTAGTTTTAAGTTGCATTTATATGATTTCATTATTATTTTAAAGTATATTAATTGTTTAAACTATGAAGTCTAAAATTAAATAAATAGATGTTTTCGATCATCTTGTTTTATAAATTACTATATAATATATAAAATATTTTTAAGACATTATGATTAAATACTTATTTATTTATTATTTTTAATACGTTTCAAAAATGAAATACAACATTAAATATTTGTAAAAGTTATTATTTAAACTTTTATGACAATTATTGACAAATATAATAACAGATCCAGTATTTTCTGATATTATTTTTGAAAAGTGGTTTATTATAAACATTGTACATTTTTGCAAGAAATTAAAATTTGATAAATTACTTTTTATAACACTTTAATAAAACTTAATTAAATATATTACGTGAACTTATTTACATATTTATTTTTTATTTCTATGGCTCATTATTTCATATAAATTAAATATAATGGAGGATGTTAACCATTTTCATGAACTTATAATAGGTATAATATAAGATATAACATATTAACATAGATAAATATAAAATACTTTTAGGAATTTATTTAAAATTGTAGTGTGATCCATTTTTAATTCTTTTAAATGTATGTTAAAAAATTATAACATATTTTCGAGTTCTCTCTAATATGTTTACCAATCATAATGTTTATACCTAATCTTCAATACTCATTAAATTCAGCTTAATATTTAATACAATTGATGAAATTAAATAAGTGTGATGTTCATTGACGATTGAAAATAAACATTAAAAACGTATGTTAGTTAATAAATAATATAAAATTAATTCCTGATCCCTTGTCTTATCGGAATTAAATATTTTTGTAACTTGTAGCTTTTAAAGGTTTTGTTATTATGTAGATGTAGGATAATACAAGGTATACAAAGTGAACCTATAATAACTTACTGCTGATTGGATTATGGTACTTTAAGTTTGATTTATTGTGTTACTAATAACGTTATTAAGTATAGGTATACATATGACTATAGGTTCATGTATCAATATTATATTATAGTAGCGCATGCGATGTAGAGTACCATTCTATTTAATGGTAGTGCATTTTTGGAGATTTAGCTTTTTAATGAGTATTGTTAATGGATATATATATATATATATTTAAGATGAAAAAAAGGTAAAGACTGAGTAAGTAGCACATAAATGTGTTAACCTGCAACAGGGACACAAAATCCTAATTACAACCAGGCCTAAATAATGTAGGAATGATGTCACTAGCCTTTTTTTTTTTAATATTAAATCTTCGTTTACATCTAGTTATACCTATTTATGCATAAAAATTATTAAAATGTAAGAATGATATGTTTGTCATTTATGTAACAGTACAACCGCTTAAATATATTTGTTCAATTTATAGTAATATTATTCATAGCAAGGGAATAAAAATGAATGGAATAGGTATTATGTAGTTTAGGTTGACAATTTAATAATTTATATGGAAATTTAACTTCTATTTCAACAATTTTTCAGAAAAAAGACGTGCATGAAATAAAATATTATTGTATACGTATTACTGCTTATGAAATAACATTTTATAAATAGTTTTTAATTGGTTTGGAAACCATACTGTTATATGATAATATCCTTAATAAAAACTAAACGGATATATTTGATATTATTGATATTTAAAAAATAAGTAAAACAATTTTTTTTTTTTTATGAACAAAAGAATTTTTTTATCATTAACCATAATAATGTAAAATCGAATTAGTTGTAAATTTTGATAATATTCTTAAAGAATAAGTAATTATTAGAAAACACAATTCATATTATTGTTGAATAATAAAATATGTCTATTAATTATACATAACAGTTTAGAGAATATATAAAGGTTGTTGTTAAATATTAACATTTAAAGTATAATTAAATTACTATGTTCATTAAGTTCATAATATTTAAGCTAACAATAAGTCGATTAGAACTATTAAATACGTTTTATTTTTAACTTAACTTTAATTAAATAACAGTATGCATAAGCTCTTTTTAATATATAAGTATACACATATGTCGTATATTGACTATTTTAGAAACGTTACAGAAGAAATGACAGACTATAATGACATTGAGTACGGTAGTACTATTTTATGTAGGTACTATAGCTTCTTCTAACCTCGTTCAAGATTCAGTTTTTTTTCTTGGCGTTAGCATGCTTTTATTTTTTCTTCTACAATGTATTACATTAAAATACCACCCAGTATAGATAGTATTATAGTCATCTATCAATTCGTTCGTTGTTAAGGAAATAACGAAATATACATATTGTAATAATTTGATTTTTTGTGTTAGATTTAAATACTTGATAATATTTATAGGTAAATATTAAAAAAATACAATTAATGTATAATGTACATTATAGTATTATACATACAAATTATAATAGTTCTTAAAACTATTGAATACATTAATTTGATTTAAAAGTAAATACGAAGTTTTATATTATATTGATTTGAATGTTTAACAATGATATATTCAATTTTTTTGTTTTTATTTGAAATTACTAGCAATAGATGTGTGTTTATGTATGATTAGTATATTAAAAATCATATAAATCTTTCTCTAGCGATTAGAAATTAGTTAGTAATTTAGAGATGTACTATTCCAAATTTCTGAATAAAAAAAAAAAATTCTGTAATATTAAAAAAAAAAATAAATAGTAAAAATTGGTATAAAAATTATTTTGACTATTTAATAGGTATTCAGATATATATATTAAAGTTATTACTAATCAATAGTTTAAAATTTATTCTAAAGATATTGAAAATACTTCATTAACATTAAAATTAACAAGATAGTTTTTAAAAATATTTGTTTATTTTACAAACATTTAAAAGTAAAATAATTTAGAAATACTTGTTATACACTACAATTGATACTTTGTAAAGCTACAAATATCTGTCTATCAAACTTACGTATTTAGTTTTATAAATACGTTAATAGTTTATCATTGATGTCCCAGATGAATTAAGTAATTTAAAGTGACATGAAAATGGAAAATCCATTACCTTATTACTTTATGTATAGGAATAGGTGTACTATTCAATTCTCACGAGATATTTATTTCCCAATAATAATATTTATGACGAGTTAACATTTCTAAGTAATAATATTTTATTTATTTGTTCGGTTGTTACTACTAATGTATTTAAATTAATAATAGTATCTTTGATAGTAAAAGAAACACGCGGATACAACTTATTACCCTGAATCGAGTATCAAAAATACATATCAATTGTGTCTTATATATTTTAACTTTATTTAAAATGAAAAAAAAAACAAGGAAACTAGATTTTTTAAGAAATAAATTAAGTGCTTAGCTATATTAACAATTGTTTTCAAATAGGATTATTTATTATTGCTTTCAAGTGTACAGTCATCCACTCCTAGTAGCTTAACTCCTATATTTTCTTTTTTTTTTAGGTATTGTATCTTTTACTTTGCGATTTTATATGTTCTATATTTCATTGGTTGTCACGTTTTATAAATGTATACACCTATAATATATTGATCCTATAGTGGTGAACAATATTAATTCCGCCCAAAGGCCAATCCAAAACAATGGTCTATATGGTTTAGAGTCTAAACCTATATACTAATAAATACATGTATTTTACGTACAGATTTTGGTTATAAAATAATTTTATCGTGATGTTACTATGAAATATAAATAATTTGTTCGACTTTCAACTAAAGTACCTAGTTGTGAGTTGTATTTATAGGGATTACACAAAATATTTGGTTTAATAAATTATATATTTTCTCTAGTAAATTAACATGAAAATGTTGCATATAATCACTTATAAAAATTAATACAATTAACATTAAATAAAAGTTTAATGGTCCAGTTTCATTGTAAGCGTAGAATAGGTACATCAAACGTATATTATTTTATTGACCAACAATTTGAAACATTAAGTAGAATACAACGTGGGTCTTACAAAATCCTTATTAAAAAAAGCAATTTGTAGGGAAGGTATGTAAATAAAATATATATGATATGAATATTAAATACCAATTATATATCTTTCTAACATAAATATAAGCATGAGGTTTGACGCATAAAACAAAAACAAAAATTGTATTGATTAAAAAAAATTTTTTTTTTTATTATTTAAAATAATTTAAATTTAATTTAATTGTTCAACAATCCTGGTAGCCTCAGGCTTCAAAAAAAAAATAGTAGAAATTTGCG